GCATTCAACCACTTCGTAAAGAGAATTGGTGTGAACATCACCCACCAAAAGTTGTAAAGAATAAAGAGCAACCACCCTCTCGGATTTCATCGTTTAGACTTATAGGCAAATCCAAGCAAATTGACCGGATATAATTGTGAAAACTCATGTTGAAGACACTTTTCTTCGGATAGGTGTTCCAGCTTCAGACGATAATTATACATCTTTGAAAATGTTTGAGGAACTAAATTAATACAAAAACCTCGAGATAGATATCAGTAGAATGTGGCATCTCAGGACCTTACCTATTATATGTGTTGTTCGTATCCTAAGTATTATTGTTTATTACCAACCTTCGTGCGATTATTCTGTTCAGTAACCTTCCCTAGGTTACAACAATAATCCATCTATTTGTTTGCTTCTTTTGCTATTCCCAAAGCCCCCAATTGGACACGAACAACACATATAAGATTCGCCAACGGCGCGTAGAAGTAGTCAACTGAAAGAAGTGAGTCAAGTGAATTCTCCAACTGCAGGATATCTACCAACCGCCCCACGCGGTCAGATGTGGCACAAGGCTGAATTTAATGTGGAGTATCCGATCCCGTAGGCTCTGCCAAAAATTCCCCGTAGACCCCTTATAAAACGTGGTCAGGTAGCTGTCTCCCGAGACGAGTCTCTGTCGTTCGACATAGCCTCGTTTGGGGATCCTCTCTGTCCGGAAGCAGAGAGTTTGAACAGCAGAGCTGGAGACGAAGCTCCGACTGCAGACCAACATACAGTATTTACTACTGTATTTATGGGAATGAGGACATACCCATTATCGTCCGTAGGTATGCTACAACAATTATATAACCGGAAGCCCTAAAATATAGGAATTTCAGAACATCATATTTATGTTTATTTATCACATCTTGCAGAAATTTCTCTCCATGCTATGACTACAATTATGTTTTCTCTCTTTTATTGTATGGTACCTCATCTGTTTGCATCTTCTTATGCAAAAAGAAAATGCTATTTTTGAAGTCTCTGGTTAAGACTTGCGGGCATCTCTTACTAAACAAAGCAAACGCAAAACACAATAATCATAATAATAAAGAGAGAGCTTGCCAGGTGACTGGAATGATTTATATTACCAACCTGTACAGTATGTTGATATTGAAGCCGAATTAAAAATTCAGTCTTTCGTGTTCTGATTGTGAAGACCCTCACCACTTAGAAGACTGGTACAGTATAATCTTCCTATCCAGAATTTATTCTCATTTTCTCCCTGTGTCGTAAGTAAATCTTATGGCCCAACATCACCGATGATCGGTGTTCGAACCTTGCTAAAAGCATGTCACATTTACTTGAAAGAATGTTGATACACAAATCTTCTTCATCGTATTTCTCACGACCTGACTTTGCACTAAACTAAATAATTATCAATAATCACTTCAGAAAGATAATGAAATATTTAGCGTATTCGTTTTAATTAATTAACATTTAATCATAAGCATAATTATCTTTTAAGACTCCAGTATTTTTCGAAATGTCGTTTATATTTTTATTTAAATGTTTAAGATAATTATCTGAAATTAATAATGTTTTTAATAAAAACCTTTCGTTTAATTTGCAGTTTAGCCGCCGTGCTCATTTCGCATTAAAAATTTCTAGAATACTTACATTTAGGTGTAATTGTTTATGCTTTATTCGAGTCTGGTTTGATAAATTTGATAAAATCTACCGTTTTGGATTTATCGACAGTGAAAGCGGATTCATTCGTGTCGCGGGCAGCCATTACTGGCGTTGTTTGAACACATTCGCTGCAGAATAGCTATCAGTGTAGAAGAGAACATGGTTAACGGCCTTGTTTACTGATCTTGTCTCAGTTACTGCGCAATAATCAAGAGAAGTGTATATCCCACTCATAGCTTTCCAAAACAATATAACTCATTATTCCATTTCCAAACTTTCTGATGAAACTAAATAAAAAGCGAAACATGTTTAATATATAAAGGTTTTTCTTCATTTTAATCTTTTATATGAACGTTTGGTTGAAGACAAACGAATATTATTTAAGTTTTATTTAATCTTTTTTTCTTTTTTCCGAAATATTTTTTTCTATTTTGCGAGAAATGTTTGAACAGATGTCGCGTGGTGTTATTCTAAGTATTATGTAGTCATGTATCAGTTTGTGGTCTCTTGACGTTTTCTTTTATGACTTGTGGAATATTTGTTTCAGAAACTGAATGAAATTTTATTAATGCTTTTTAATAAGGATTTTAATATTTGGAGTCGTTTACACTTGCTACTTCCATTAAACCTTATATCAACAAACACCACATCAACAAATCACAAGTAATCTGGCCAATACTTATCAGCAATTCTAAAATACCATACCGTATAAACTGTAAAAAAAATACTATAAATGTTAGAAGCATTAATCACGAAAAACAAACAACTCAGCTTCATTCACTTAAGGACAAACATTTTAAATGGATTTCACAACTAAAAAAAGACGACGAGAAAATTCAAGCGTGAAAAGCTTCTGTAAGTGTAGTCAAGCATGACCACCACCACCACCAGCAGCAAGCAGGTTAGATTTAAGGCCCCACATTCTCCACAGAGCCAGTCTAGTAGATTAAAGCTTTGGTCCGTGAATTTGGTAAAATATTAATTGTGAGTTCAATCCCTGGGTAGCACGTGCTTATAATTAGTGGGAACTGGGCGACCAACAACTGAGCGGTACAAAGAATAAGAACTAAACGAGATATCCGTAGACATGGCAAGTGGAACGAGAATAGTCTACTTCCTTAGAGTAAATAAAAGGATCAGAGGAAAGATGCATACATTCGCATGAAAAGGGTGCGAGAAGCAAATTGTCGCCATTTTATATTTTTTAAATTTCGCGCATGCGCGTTGTTTGTTTTTTAAATTTTATTTTGTCAACCGCACAGTTTAGTTGGGTCAATTAGGCACCGTCTGTGAGAGAAAGCGCACCATGACGCAATTCACTCCACCAGAAATTTGGAAACGGCCTACTGTACTACTTGGCATTCGCGCCGGAAGCTAAAATACGTATATTTCCGAGTGTTTGAGTATCAATCTGAGGACAGTGCAGAGGATTCAGAAGGGGTTGCATGATATATCCAGTCAATATCATGGTGTTTAGGTTGGTCATTAGTGATGACGACGTTATGCCTCCATTCATCTTCCTACAGGGCCTCAGACTCAACACGGAGTCTTGTATCAAGTGCCTTGAGGAGATAGTGTTGCTCTGGGTCAAGAAGGTGGCTTCTGAAAGACCCAACAGGAATCTGCACCCTGCAACACAAGCAGGAGAACTCGGTCATGGCTATCATTCAATTTCTGCGACCACGTCCCCCCTTACATCTGGCCACATAGCTCCCCAGACTGCAACCCCCTTGATTATTGTGTGACTAGTTCATTTGAGCTAGAGGCAAAAAAAAACCCTCCTTGTAACACCAAGATGAACTGAAAGCACTGATTTTGGCAGCATTCACCAACTTAATCATGGAGGCTGACCAGAAGAAAGGCAGAAGATTCCGAAGTAGTCTGGAGGCCGTGGTTGAAGCCAGTGGTGATTTTATTGAATAAATTTACTCTTTAGCATGTCAACATATTTTTGTATATTTTTAGTAAATATATCTGTAAATTTGAGATGTTAGTGTTATTTTCATTTGTGCGTAATTTAGACAATTTAGCAATCGCATCCTCTAAATAGTGTAAATAATGATAGCTCGTCATCCCCGAAATTCAAGCAGATACAAGCGGAAATTTCAAAAACTAATATAAAAACTCGATACGGTATTGATATGTAAGAAAAGAAAGAGAAAGAAGGAAAGAAAGAAAGAGAATATGTGAAGGAAGACACCGACTGTAGACATGATTAAACTAATCAATTTTCAACACTCGAACTCTTACGGACAGTATGAATAAACATCAAATTATTAGTAAAACTGCGCACGACTTTTGTTTGATAATCCAATATTCATTTCCTCAAATAGGTTTTGTGAAGTTAACTTCATTCTTTATGTCTAAAAATTGTCTGATCTCCAATGGTTTGAGTGAAATATCCAAGAGACTTACAACTCAATTTGCCTGTTATATATAAAAGAGTCAACTTCAGAAGGTCAAAGGGCAGAATATAACAAAATTCTTTCATGTTAAATTAATGGATGCGAAATAATTGGAACAGATTAATAAATAGATTACCAGAAACTCTAGAAGTTTTGGGATTATATAAGTTGAAGCATTTATCAGCACCAAGAGTGAACATAATTGCCCGAATATTTCATAGGACAAAATCTACGCGTAATTTGAGAAGTTCAGGTGTCATGAATTCATAAAATTGAAATTTTAAAGATATCATTTATTACTTTTTCATCTTTTCGTTGGTATCAGTCTACTTTTCTGAACGAAAAAAATGATACTTTTTTATAAACATTACATTTGGTAGGTAAACCTGTTTGAATAGACATCCTTTTTTCTTTAAAACATTTATATTGACACCGACCGGTCTCGGCAAAAACATGTCTTACTCAAACAAAGTGATTTTTGACTCTCTTAGAAGCTACATTATCTTTATCCTGAGAAACCATCTTTAAGCTAGGCCTAGTTAAGTGCTCAGCCATGAAAAGACAGCACAGCAAATTAAGGGTCAATTTTCCATTTTTAACAAATGCACGTCTTTCGGTGGCACTTTTCAAAACCTATATCTCCTTATATTATTTTCATACTCGAATAGTAAACAAAGCAATTTACAAGAAATTAATGGATTAAAAAAAAAACTCGATATTTTTTATTACTTTAAACGTTTTATGCACTGGGTACACTCATAAAAAAGTAATGTCAGATCAAGAAAATAGACATTAATTGCTTAAATATTTAATGTGTTTGTCAGGGGAAATCCCGTTTCATAATCAGTCGAACAGGTTATATTTTCACTTAAAAGTGCTCGTACACACACGCACGCACGCACGCACGGCTCGCACGCGCTCGCGCAGAGAGGGCGCGGCTTACGGCAATTTCAGGTCGAAACAACGGTTCTCGTACGATCACCGAAGTTAAGCAACGTCGAACTTGATCAGTACTTAAATAGGTGATCGCTTGGGAATACTAGGCGCTGTAAGCGCGGATAAATATGTGGGGTAATGGATAAAGGCGCGGAGAATGTAAGTCGGAGAGTCGAGTTCGAATTCCAGTCAGGTTCTTTATATTCACTTACACGCAAATATCCTTGGAAAAGGTTTGAATCCACCTCTTCTCCCGTACTGTGGGTCAAATAGTAAGACGTGTATTAATAAATCATTATTATATCCTCAACATTTTTCAACCTAAAATATCTTTCTAGCTTTAAATAACCTTTTAAAGGTTGATAAGCCGTAAAAAATCAACCATCCAATCCTCAGACACACGCACACACCCCTCACATATAAATATATATATGGCATTCTGCATAAATTATGCCTTATATGACTGCGCTTTCGAAATTCTGCCCGACACCAGATAACAGCCATATTCGAATTGATTACAGAAGATGACTAAGCAAATAATCAAGAAACCAGACAATATCAAGAATAAAAAAAGAATTTGAGCAATTTTTTTTTTATACTGAGACTAGAAAGCCAGATTTCGAGGCCAATGGGACAGGCAGACATAGAGAAATGTTCCTAAAAATCTCATGGTGTATGGAAATGCCAATATTACATGCCAAAAAGACGAGACATGTAACCAGCAGAATAATTAACTTGGCGTTTAGCCGATTCCTGAAAAACAGATAAAGAAATCAAGAAGACTAAATTTTCAAACTAGAATAAAAGACTAATAAAATGAAGCTTTCTTTGAACTAGAAAAAAATACTTCCAAAACCTTACAACAATCATCGCAACATCTGCAACCTTTGTCAACAAGTAAAATTAGCTATAATAACATTTCCAGACCAAGAACCTTTTAAACCAGAGATCGGAAATTATGTCCCGTTGTATACACACTAAAAAGTTCCTTTCGAGTTTATTTGAAGTGGGATAAAAAGAACTTATGTTTTATTTTATTTAATCCCCTACCGATACATTTCCAATATACTTGATTTTCTCACTCCTCTTCTTCACCCTCTACCACGTGCCACACAGTGTGCTCAATCATTTTTTTTTTAAATCTAGCGTTCATAAAATTTATTATTTTTAAAAAAATAAAACTTTAGGGAATCAATTGACTCTTTCTTTCTCTCTCTCTCTATCTTTCTCTCTCTCTCTCTCTTTATTTCTCTCTCTCTTTCTTTCTCTCTCTCTCTTTCTCTTTCTTTCTCTCTCTCTCTTTCTCTTTCTTTCTCTCTCTCTATTTCTTTCTCTTTCTTTCTCTCTCTCTCTCTCTCTCTTTCTTTCTCTCTCTCTCTCTGTGTATAATTTAAAACATATATTTATAAGGGATGTGCTCAATATCGGATCGCAGATACCGTGTTTATATAGACAGTGAATATATTGGAATTAACACTGCATATTGACCCTCTCTTTCACGCTTCAATGCGATCTTTTAAAAAGTTAGTGTGATAATAATATTAAGTCATGAAATTAACAGCCAACATGCACTGTTGTTTTTTGTCCTCTCTCTCTCTATCTAAATAAACAGGGTTTATCATAAATACATTACAAATATTTTTGGTGGCTAGGGTGTAATCACACCAAAACAAGGACTAATGTTCATATAAACTGCATGTCTGCAAATTCTTCATTTTCGAATTATTAACTTAAAATTTATGGTAGATGCCGTTAAATGTAGAAACCAAGATACAATCCCAAAATACTTTTACAAACTTGGGTTGGGTTCCCACACCAAAACAATGTAAAATGTCCCTATAAACATATGTCCAAAAGGCCAAATAACAAAAAACATCGGCAGGTTGTACAATAAACTATTGGTAAAAGTTCTCCAGTGATGAGGGATCAGAGGTCGAAAGACCCTATACACGTTGCAAATGATACAAGAGCTACTCTTGAAGTACACTCCATGCAGTACTATAAGATGTGCGATATGCTAAAGCTACTTGACGTGTGTTGATATCTGGATCGTCTCCAACAACCTGTAGAATTTGTTCTTATGGGTTAGGTCTTCCTCGATCCATAGTTTGTGGTGGTACGGATCATGTCTCAGCAACACGACGATAAACAACAGCAAAGGTTGGATGACTCGGCTGCCTTCGGTCTGAAAACGCAATCTGCTACATCCATGCAGCCTCGCATCCATTTCCATTAGCGCGGCCGTATGTAAAATGCGTATCTACCTGCTCACGATATGAGTATCCTACCATTGTTAAATGGAACACCTCACAACTACAAAAGTTAAACATTGGAGACAGACTATCCAAAAAATATACGAATGACAAATGTAACCTAGTCCGCATGGCAACACAGCGCCATCTACCGTAAACTTTCTTTAAACTTAATAACTCAAAATCGAATGATTTGCAGACATATGTTTATATGGGCCTTTGTCTTTGTTTTGGTGTTGGTGTAAGGAAACCTCCACAAAAGTTTGTAAAAGCATTTTTAATACACCACACACACACACACACACACACACACACACACATATATATATATATATATATATATATATATATATATATTAAACACTGGCGTCAATACAGGCGCTCAGTATTGACCTTAGTGTCCACATTTACATTTACATACGCACTATATAACATACCTTAAAACGATATTTTTTATCATATATTCATTTCACGCCAGCGTCTGGGAAAGAAGACATAAATGGTAACAATAACTGAGGCATAGCGTCCATATGTGACTTTTCACAAAGCCAGTGAACATTTATGTTACTTCTGACTGGGAATAGAAAAGATTTATATCCATTTCTTAAAAAAGTGTTGGAGATTCCCGAATTGTTTGAAGAAAACAAAAGCTAAAACCAAACAGTTTTAAAGACAATCAAACCGATTCAATTTTAGAGATATTTTTTTAGAATTACTTTGGCAAATATCGTCATGGTACCTTTGCACATTTTTGTGTGAACCTCAATGTCTATATTAATTCATATAAGTCATAACCGAGATTCTTTCATCCACAATGTTGTATGTCTTTCTATGTCGAATAAACACGTGGGGATTATTTACTGTCTTTACTCCTGAGATTGAATTACTCATTCGAAATACAGGGTTGCCTCAGGTGTAATCCAACCTCATGAGATTTGTTAATGTACATTGCAAAAATGCATAATACACAATGTACATAATCGTGTACACCTTTTAATACTTCTTTTCTTAAAATTTGTGGGGTATTATATCTCCATTGCATATTATGCATTTCTCTACAGTTAACTTATGTCTTGATTCTTTGTAGGGTCTATCTGCCATTGAACAACTGCTATATGTATTTCTTTTTATTCTGTCTGAAATTCTACTTAACACTGGATCTTGTATGATTTCCATTCTGAGACGACTTAGGTGTACACACCCTTTTCTACCCAGTACAGTATTTAATCTTCTGAATTTTCAGATGTTTCTAAATTTTTACTGTTGAAATTTAGTCTAGATAGCGCATCCGCGTGTGAAATAGTGTTCCCCCCTTTACGTATATGATGTCAAAATCAAAGTCCATGAGTTATATATGCCATCTCAAAGTTCTGGAAGATGTGAATTTTGGTAATTCCTTTCTGGGGTTGAATACAAAATCTAAAGTTTTTCTATCTGATTTTAACAAAAATTTCGTCCTAACAAAAAAATTCCAGCTCTTTCTGTGCTTCATACTGTTGCTAATGCTTTTTTTTTTAATATTTGATTAGTTAGCTACATCTAATATTAATGTTCTCACCAGGTCCATTATTAGATAACCTTCTTGAGATAAAATTGAGCCACGGAATGTTCACTTTCATTCATAGTCAATGGCTCTTCTTTTTTTTGGATCAAAGATTTTTGCAATCGGTTTTCTTTCTTAAGTTGTCAAAAGCTATAATTGGTCTTTGAGCTCATCTAAATTCCTTATTCTTTTACTGTAATTCTGCAAATGGTTCTATTAAATCGCTGTATTTAGGTAGATATTTGCTATAAAAATTGCTCAATCACAAAAAGAATTCTTTTTTATGTTTTGGTATAGAGACTAACGATATTTTATTTATCAGTTTATTGTCTGGCGAAATTACATGTTTAGATAATTGGTTTCCAAAAATACAATATTTTGTCGCAATTTAACTTACATTTATTGTTATTTATCGTTATTTTTAATATATTTAAAACTTCTGTTTTTTAATTCCTCTTTACTGCAAGTACTTATGCTTATATCGTCTTGATATATAATTATATTTTTACCCCCTTGATAGAACGTTTTCAATTACCTTTTGAAAACTATAGCTTGAAGTCTTAACTACAAATAGAAGCCTAGTTCATCTTAGTAAGCCTATTGAGGTATTAATTTTAGTGACTTCTTTAAATTTTTCGTCAAATTCTATTTGATTATATGCTGATCTCAGGTGAATATGGCAAAGTATTTAATTCCTGCTAATTCATAACTTGCTGTTTTTATGTTAGGTAACGAATTAGGCATATCTGATGTTTCACACCTACTTTATAATCCCTGTATATCCTCAAATCGCCATTGGGCTTTCGTATCGCCACAATTGAAGAAGCCAAACTGCTACCACCTTGGGTAAACTCCTCTAATATGACTTGTTCTATTATCTTTTTTTAAGTTTTGCAACTACCATGGGTAAAATGTGTATAAGTATTTTTCAAGATTCAAAATAGATCGGGTGACTATTTTCTTTTAGACGAATACTCGTTTTATAACCTTTCAGTAGTCCTATGTCAGATTCTGACTTTATACAGCTTCTTAATTTCGCATTATCCACTTTTAAAACGTCTATTTCCAAAAGTCTATTTTTGTTTTTTTTTCCGTTTTTGTCTCGAAAGTTCCTTCAAACGAGCCTAGAGTTTTTTATGACAGATCCATCAAATTGTTTTAAATTAAGATTATTTTTTCTTAATTTATGCTTACCCATTTTTCTCAGAGGCAGCGTAACATTTTTTGTTTAACTCTGTCAGTGCTGGAAAGAAACGATAGGGTAGCTCCAGCCCATATATATGGCTTTTAATTTAATTGGATTTTGATGTCAATGATAAACT